GTTGTTGTGGGGAGGGACCTATAGTTTTTCGCCGACTCCGAACGGCGCACATAGGAGTATTTGTATGAAAAAGCCGGTCATAAGTCGAATTAAAAAAATATGTTTAATCTCATCACAGAAACTATTTTCTTGAAGGTAGATAATCGGTTTATCAAATAGCAGACGCCAGAATTTTCACAGCGTTTAGTGTCTGAGCATTGTTCATTGGAACCTAGTCATTGTTTTAACCATTAATCTTTGTTCTCGTCAATCCTAGATTTCCATAGTGTGTAATGGTTAACTGTGCTTTTGTTTTGTGAAGTAAACGAAAAAATCTTTTTGGACATGGAAGGGCAAGGTATGTACTTTATAATAACAATTTATTTTTTTAATTTCATGCCAAGACTGCAACCTAAGTGAGGATTTTTAAGTCCCAGTAAAAAGTAATTTTTTTTTAACTAAAATTTATCAAACAGTAGTGTTTTTAAATAGGTGTCGGACCTTGTCAAGTAAAATTGTTAGCGTGATCATAATATTTGGACCCTTTTTGAATATAAACGGGAATAAAATTGTCCCCATATGTCCACAATTTTGTTTTCTCAGTTCTCAAAGTATGCACTGCAAAAACAGGTGTCTTGGCAAAAATCAATTTTCCTCGCTTTTATGATAATTTTTTTACATGTCCTCTGTAAAGACAGTAGGAATGTCTTTGTCCAATTGCCATTTTACCAATTGGACAGCTATCAGAAGAGGAAGCCGAGGCCAGAAATAAACACTTCCGAAAATACCGCCTGGATTTTTCCCGAAAATTTTCTAGAGTAGAGTGCAACAGAGATATTCTAAACAGGCTGTTACTAACATCTGACCCATTCTTGAGCTGCACTAGCAAAAAGAAAAATAAAAAAAAATAAAAGCCGTTTTCTAAAGAGGCAAAGAAACTCCTGATTCCGAGTACACCGACAATGGACGAAGATTAAGTCACAGCTTTTTCAAATACTAGAAGAAAAAACCATTAATTATATGTCGTTTATCAATAACTTACAAAATAAGTGTGAAATAGAAATATTGTTTATTTAAATAATCATTTTTATTTAATTTTGTTTTATTATTGTTAAATATATTGCAATTATGATTCATTAACGTGTTTTCTTAATAAATGTATTTGAAAAAAGCACTTAATAATTTTGACCGGTTTTTGGACTGAAATACTCCTATGTGCGGCGACCGTATTTTTTATGAGAAGCTGTTTTTCATGGCAGAAATACAGTCGGAGGTTTGCCATTTCCTGCCAAGAGGCGACCGCTGTTAAGAAAAAACCTTTTTTCTATATTGTTTTCCGATGTTGCTTTGACCAAGGCTTGAACCCAGACGCTGCGTAGTGGAAGTGCGCACTGCTTATCACTACACCACAGCGGTCGCGGCCTATATAAGGTGCAAATTTTTTGGTGGGTAAAATATACTAAGGATAAATTATGATATTATTCGAACAAACCTTTGAATATTTACTTGACATTTACGGCAATTTTCAATCTTTGAAGGATTGTGAAAGAATTCGCATAATATTACATGATCACAGGGAATATATACAGATTTTGAGAATTCCAGAATTTGGAACTCACTGAGGCTCGTCAGAAGGGTTTGCGTTCGAATTTTTCTTAGTAAATTCAGTCAAGTTATCATCCAATTTGTCTTCATTTCAAAGTCCAATACGTTTTCCTCATCGTTTTCTAATGAAGTTTTCTTGATTACCTTTTCTAGAGTCACCTTCGATAAAAGTTTTTCGATATTTGTTTGGTCTCCTAACAACAACTTGGGGGCCTTATCGATTTCAGAATCCCGTCGAAGAGTTTATTGTTTTTTTTTCGCTAACCATCACTCATAACTCACAAATATGGGTTGAAATAGCATACTTTTCTGAGATTATAAGCGAAAGAAAATGGAAGAAATAAGAAATTTCCGTTTATAGGAAAAGGCTTTACCAATGCAGCATTAGCTTTCAAAAGCCGAGGTGGTGCGCATTTTTAAACTTAAAACCGACAGTTAATTCAACATTTTCTAAAAATAAGTCACAAAATTTAAAACGAACCTGATAAGTCATAAGAGTTCCACTCACCGCTTTTAATCAACAGCTTCAAAAATTGGCTGCATTAATGTAAAACAATAGAAATTCATCACTGGCGCTGCTAAAACCTTATATCCATATATCAATTTATCTCATGGAAGAAGTGGTAAATACAGAAATCTGATATATACCGTCTTGGATTTCGGAAATTTAACCATTTTTTCAAAAAGTTATAAGTGAAAATTCCTAATTTTGCGCCGGACTTTCAGCTGTGACACTGAAATTTAAGATTTTTTCAAAAGTGGAGTTAATCAATTTGTGCAGTGAGCGGCTCATTTAATATACATAACTTCCATGAATCAGATCTGTGTAAGTAATGTCAGACTTAACTGCCATGGACCAAAAATCGATCGATGGTAATAATTTCACTTCCATAGAATGGAAGTTATGCCCGTGACAGTTATGTCGAAATCCCAACAGGGGCTAACGCGAACTAATCATGGTCCCTACATGGTAGGCATTTATATTTACATTAAATGGTGCCCATTAGTATGCTCACATACGTTCACAAATTCAGGGAACTTGATTAAGCCCTTTGCCTTATCAAACCAAGTATGTAAACGCGATTTTATTACCATAGCTACTGATAAGCAAATGGGATTTAATTATTTACTAAATAAATTAAATACAAAAGTATTTAGCCATCACAAATCGATGAAGTGATAAATGAATCTCAAAAGGGGTAAAACAGTTAATTGAGAATTGTCGAGTGGATAACATGTACGCAAAATTGCTACCTAAACTCGAAAAAGCGCTAATATTTGTGTAAAAGCGTTAATTCACTGAAAAATTTTGGGTATTTGTATGGATATACATACATACATGCATACATTTGTATGTGCATTCACCCTGCTGGTTTGTGCTTTGATAAAATGTATAAAACGAAAACCTTTCACCTAAATGACGAACAAAACACAAAGCTGCGAGAACGCAAACTCATAAGTTCGTCCAAAAGAATTTGGTAAGATTTGCAATTTTTAAACTGTTTTACTTTCTTTCGAGCTTGGATGTACATACATAAATATTTTATTGTCCTCAATTCACATAGCTTGATGAAATATATGGTCATAATCCTGCTCATCGGCTTTGTATTGCTGTTGATTTTGAGTAATGTGGATTTCTCAGATGAGTCATGTGAATTGACAACTGCTGTCAGCACAATTCAAAGCGAGGAGGTTTCAGTTAGTACTCCAAATGCAACAGCAACAACCACAATAACATCAACGACAATCACAACAACTGCAATTGATAATTCAACCACCATGAAAATCATCTATGATTCAAGTACTGCGGGAGTGAACATCTCAGAACGAGCTGTGAATGCAGTAAGTGCATAGTAAGTACAAAGAGAAATTTAGAAACGAAAGTGATAAGTGTACATGAGCCTTAACGTATCGTTAGCAATTTCGTTTTGTTATTTATCATTATTAGTAAAGTTGACGTTGTGGACAGGGCTTCGGAGCCGTGCAGAGCGGGGTAAAGGAGCAAAGGATTTCGACTGAAGCGGAGCTGAAGCGAAGAGCTAAAAAAATTAATTTGCTCCTTAGCTCCTTAAATACATTTTTATTTCATGTTTACTTGGAAATACTCTCTCTCTCTCTCTGGCATTCGCATATTCGTTGCATTTGGAAATTCACAACAATAAAATGCACATGGTTGCCAAGGCAGCAAGCATAAAATTTGCAAACGCAATTCCAACAGCAATGTCAATGTCAATTTTATCGACAGTTTATGTATCCGGAAACGAACGGAAAAATAATACAATTTTTAAAAAATACGATTTTCCTACCCGGAAATGCTCAGGTAACGACTTAAATTTCCACTAGTTTTCGTATCCAGAAAACGTTCGAAAGTGATGATTTTATTTGAAAGCAATAATTAAAAAAAATATATATATTTTTTTCCACTTAATCAGTTGCATCAAATATACATTTCGGCGGTCCAATGCGTATATATTTTAATTTTTTAAATACATACATATGTATGCATGAAAATTATAGAAATATTATTTTATGACCTAAAAACCCATAATACTTCAGATCGAATGAAATTTTTTATGAGCTTAGCTTATTAATATATGAATTCAGATCAGGAGGTCTGGCTGCTGACAGCGGTCTTGACTATGCGTTTTTATCTATTAGAGATGTCAATATAAATCGATTACTCAACATAATTCAGATGACTTGAAATTTGGATAGAATTATATTTACAGTATATATATGTGTATATAGAAAATGAATTCAAGGTTGCCTGCCAATTCTTATGGTCTTAAAGTACTTCCAACCCATGTTGAAATTGCATTTTCGCCCTTTTGAAAGCACATTCGTAATACATATTGTAACTAGATGAAATATCTACAGCCAGTCAAAAACCTCATTTCCGTGAGGATGGGTGAGCGAGAGAAAACGTATATCGTTCATATGCCATGGCGTATGAGTTACCTATCAACATTACGATTAAGTCTAGTTGAAAGGAAAATTTCAAGTCATTTGTTGCGTTTTTTTACTCATTTCCAGTAAAATCCAGTAAAAGTTTTTACGAATTTTTATGTTTTGGCGTTTTCGTACGCAAAAACTTGCAAAGTAGGGGAAATTGAGAGAGCGAAAAATGACAGTTGAAGTTGCAAGTTTTTACAGGATTTTACTGGATAAATTTTTACTTGTAAGAATTTGCCAGTACGAAAAACAGATGATCGCATGTTGCTGGACGAAATTTAAACTAATAAGGAAACTGGTTGTGGGTTTTTATTAGTTGCGTGCGCGTAGCTGTTAATTGTTCATGTTTAACCAATTAGGGGAAATTGAGAGAGCAAAGTGACATTTCATTTTGAGGGGAGCTGCTGCTTTCTGCTGGAAAAATTTTTGCCAACAGCAATTTACCAACAGGAAAACAGCTGATCCAAAACAGCTGGTTGGCATCTACGCAAATCACAAAATTGAATTTGATCGTTTGGAAGTTAAAAATTTACAAAATGCGACTGATTAAACTTGTAAGAAATAAGTAGTTATTTGTTTAATCAATAAACTGTGTCAGTATAACACTTTGTGATGACTTTTCGTACGTTTTAAATTTTACACTTTTGAATGAAAAAAATATATTATATCAGCTGTTCGTCTAACTTGCAAGTTTCTGCAAATTTTCTGTTCGCGTACTATTTTGGATATTTCTCTCTTGTGAGAGAACAGATGACATTTCGACGGCATTTGACAGTTGGTTTGTTTTTACTGGAGATTTTAAACGAACGCACCTATTATTGAATTTCGCAAAATAAACCTATTTAAAAACAAAATATATTGTTTTATTAGGAATTTGCTGCAAATAAACAACCAATTTATCAGCTGTTCATGAAACTTGCAAATTACTACTGGAAAAGCGTTCGCGTACTTTATTGCAAATTTTTTCTATGAGAGCGAATTCTTAGAAATATAGTTACTGGAGAGTTGCTGGCAAGTTACTGGATAATTTAAAAAAAAACACAACTACTGCAATATTTTTTAAGCGACTTCCAAAAAAGGAGGAGGTTATCAGTTCGTCGGAATAATTTGTTTTTGTTTTTTTTTATGTATGTTACCGAATATCTTTGGACCACCTCAACCGATAATTCTTTTTGCATCGGAAAGGTAGTGTCTCAGAGGTGGTCCCATACTAATCTGGTTTAGATCCGATCATTGGATCATGAAATATATATGTATATTTTTTTTTTTTTCTCGCTCTGGCTGTGGGTGTCTTTTGCACGATTGTTTTCATTAGTTGCGTTGTTTTTGTATTTGTTGCCACCGGTAACCTTATCCTTATTGCCATAACAATGAAATAAACGTTTTATGTTTTCTATAACCAGCACTGGCTTCACTTGTACAGATAACAGAACATGCAAATCTATAATTTGTTCTGGCGGTCCGATCTATACTCTAATTTATGAATTGGAATACTTCATTGATTATTGCGGCAACAAGAACTTCGATGTCATTTTGGAGAATTGCACCTTCAACGATGCGGCCATAGGCAAATACACGATGTCCGGCAGCTATAAACTGAACAGTTTAACAATTCGTAATTGCACTCTGCAAGCCATAGTGAATAACGCATTCAACTATATAA